ATAGAGGAACGTAATTATAAATATAATAGAGGTTTTAAGTAGATATTTTATTGTCTGTTAAATGAATTATATTTGTTGTAATAAATATTTTCTCTCTTTGTTAACTGTGTTGTATCGTTTGGTTTATTCTATTTCGGTCGTTCGAAATATCGAGTGAGAGATTTTAATTTTGATAAATTTGTTCTATTTGCAACGACGAACAAATTCTAAGCCACAAGGTTATTTTTATTCTAAAGTATGAGTTAAAAATGTAGCATATTTGTAATTATGTTTGTTCCTAAAAATTTCAATTCTGCGCTCAGATAAATTAGAAGAATTTGTTTTCGAATATATTCAGTGAATAGTGTTTCAAAAATATTTCCAGTCTTGTCTTAAAAATATTATATATTTTTTAAAATTTTGTCTCTGAATATATATATTAGTTAATTCAAATGACATTGAATGTTTGTATAATATTGCACTAATTAATTCTTTAAAAATAATTTTTCCATTGCTTCATTCAGAAAAAAAAATATGCATACTACAGTTATGCTTTGTTGAATTAATTTTTGCAATTAACATTTTAATTATATGCTAAAATTATATACATAATGTTTAGTATAAAATTAAATATTATATTGAGAACAATTAAAGTTGGGGTCTTTATGAGATATATAGATAAAAATAATTATTTTTGAAAATAGGTATTTTTTATTTCGGTTGAGAGAGAGAATTTTCAAATGTGTTGTTGATTTGTTCTAATCAAGGGGGGGATCTTTAGTTTAATTAAAATAATTATTCTTCGTGTATTTATTTTTCTTTTATGTATAGAAATTTAAACTATCTTTTAAATTTCTAATTGTTTGTAGAAAAACTGTTATACACTGAAGTGCCTCTGAATTACGGATACCAATCTAGTAACGAGTTGGGCCTCCTCTGGCTTTAATAACGGCTGCCACACGACGAGGAATAAATTCAAGTTTCTGGAATCGTTACAAGGGAATGATTTGCCAAATATTGGCTTAAGTTGTCCATAATTCATTAAGGTTTGCTGGTGCTGTGTGATGGCCTTTCACGCCTTGTTTGAAAACATCCCAAATATGCTCATTAGATTTAATTCCGGGCTTCTAGGGAGCCAATTTATGACAGAAAAGTCAAAGGAATGCTCATCCAACCAGCCAGTAGCCAACCGGGACTTGTGCGAGGTACAGTTGTCTTGCTGCAAAACTCCATTACCATGCAGATAACAGAACAGCATAAATGGATGGAGGTGATCACCCTGTAACAATACATACCGAATTGCATTGAGGGAGGTAGGCACACGTACCAAAGATCCCAAACAGTGCCAAGAAAAAACACCCCATACCTTGCTTGAGCCACCATGCCCTTGCACAGTTCCATCATTGCATGCAGGATGCATGACTTCATGAGCTTTACGCCATATATTCAGCTTACCGTCGGCGTTAAGTAGTCGGAATCATCACTCCATGCTACTTGTTTCAAGTCATCTACACTCCAGCCTCTGTACTCTCTTGCCCAAGAAAGACGTGCAAACCGATGGTGCGCATTGAGCAATAATACTTTCGTAGATCGACAGCTCCCGAAACCCATATCCAGGTGTCATCCACGTCACTTGACTATGGTTCAAAATTACGAGGTCCGGCGCAAAAAACCCTCGTGTAGCTGAACAGTGCGACGTTACTATTCACTCACTCACTCGAAACCCATATGGTGAAGCGAGCGTTGCACAGTCCGTTTACTGGCTGTACGACTGGCACCGTCATTCAATTGGGTGGTAATTTTAGCTAATGTTTGACTTACGCACTGTCAAGGTTAATCAGTGGCGTAACGGAGAAAATGTGCCCCTCCCCTGCAAATTCACAAGTCGAATTTTACAAAAGGCACTAGGTGGCATTCAGGTTTTGGAACCCCTAGAACCCCCCCCCCACGCGATGCGGGGGTGTACGCAACATCACTGAGGCTAATTGTCTTTTGCAGTTTGCTAGTTTTTTTATCCACCAACCATGTATTCTTGGTATATTCTTGACTCTTGACCTTGAGAATCCTAGCTGTCTGACGATTTCGGAAATTGAATGGATTACGATTTGTGTGCGATCGAAGACGTCGAAATTTAGCAGCTTACCCATACTGGTAATTCCAACAATTAATTCAGAGCAACCACAGCCCGTGCTATATTACCACAATGCCCTCACGTGCGCATAAAGGATGCACAGCACGACGCAATTTGCACGGCCCTTGCTAATCATAATTCAGTGGCACTTCAGTCTACTTACGGTATTTTTGAAGTAAAGTTTTCCATCAACATTAACAAAATCCTTTAACAAAGTTCCACTTATTTTAATGTTTATAACCATAATGGATTTTTTTCGTGTGAAAAGAGTAACTCTAAACTTTAACTTCAAACTAACTTTAGCTGCAGTAGCACCGAAGCGGTCGCGATAGCAACGGTCCGGGCTCGTGGTGGACGTATCATGAGTTCGAGCATAGTACCACTAAAGACCCGTTTTGCAGAAGGGGCCGATGGATGTCAAACTTGTCGAGCTCAAAGTCCTCTCATTGTCTTGGTGTAGTAGTTCGGAGAAAAAAGTGCCAACTCAAGTGTCATCCTCGTCACTTGATCGAGGCTCAAAATTACGAGATCTCTCGCTAATAGCCCTCATGTTGCTTTGTGTGTGTGAGTGTGTGTATAGTGCTACTTTAATAAAACTCTCTCTCTTTCTATAGAAAAACTTTCTGAAGAATGTTATTAGTTGAACATTTTTGTCCGATTATCAAATTTGAAACTGTATCTCGATTCTATAAATAGAACAAGTACGAGTAATGCCATTTTTGACTTCAATGGATAACATTGATTGCATTTATCGTAAGACCGTCATGGATTTAATCCATTAAGAAATTGTAGGTAATTTGAAAAATTATGATAACAATTTATGCATGAATAACTCAAAGTTCACCATCAAATATTAACTCACAAAATATTTACTATCAAGTACTAATTTTATTGTTCCAAATTTTGTTACCACAGTTATTATGTTTCTTCTGGTTACCGTGGCATCGCTATTGCGTCCCGTTTTCGATTTTTTTCACTCATCTGAGCAACGCAGGGGTTGAAAAAGCAGTTCTCCACCTGCTGCCCACCGGACCTTTTTGAGTCACCTGATCTTGGCCCATTGCACTAACAAGATGAATTATTTAAGAACAGTGCAGTAAAAATTGAGCGATAAATTCTATCAATTAAAGAATCAAATATGTCAATTTTGCTATCGATGTCGTGCTGGTACACATTGCGAGATAGCTTTCGTAACTGTAACGATTAGAGATAATAAATAACAGTGGAGTAGCGACACTTTTACGGGTGAAAATAAACTGCTGTTTTTAAAAACTCAACACCATGAATGAATCATCACAATTCAATGAAATTTAATGCACAAACGACTTGTATAAGTACATATAAATGACAAAATTTTTAAAGCAAAAAGACAATAGTAAGTGTCCAAAATCAGTGTTTGGTGTAGCCACCACGCGCTGCAATAAGTGCTGCTACACGACGTGGCATGGAGTCAAACAGATTTTTAATGTCTGCTTGTGGAAGAGAATTCCATATTGTTTACATGCGCAGCAGAAGTTCGTCTTTTGAAGCTGCAAGACGTAGATCACGAGCGAGTCACCGACCAACCCAATCCCACACGTGCTCAATAGGCGACAAATCCGGCGAGAAGCAGGCCAAGGAAGAAGCTGCATGTGTTGGGCTGAACAGAAGTCTCGAACTGTCTTTGCAACATGTGGGCGGGCATTATCCTGCGTGAAGATAGCTCCAGGGATGCCTTAAAGGAAGGGAACGACTTCGGGCTGGAGCACTTCGTGGATGTACCTCTTGCTACTGAGATTACCTTCAATTCGTAGCAAATAGGATCATCTATGATACGAAGTGGCTCCCCAAACCATAACTCCGGGTGTTAGGCCACTATGTCGTTCGATAACGCACTCTGGAAGGCAACATTCACCGGTATTGCGTCTAAAACGAATGAGGCCATCATGGCCCCAAAAATTGAAGCGTGACTCATCTGAAAAGACAACTTGGGGCCATTCATTTTGCCAGACTCTCTGCTCATGAGCCCATTGCAGACGCTGATGGTTTGCTGTGAGGGGGATCCTGTATAAAGGCACCAGTGCACGCAATCCACGGTGTAGTAAACGTCGACGAATTGACGAATCCGACATTAGTACACCTGTAGCAGTAGACCAACATGCTGCCAACTACCTGGAGGAAGCTCTACGGTCATTCACCGCCATGCGGAGCAGGTGTCGATCGTCGCGCGCTGGAAGGAGGTTTTATAGGAAGGAGGCTAACAGGGCTTTGAAATACCCTCGAAATAGCCTGTAACACGAGCCAATTTTGTTAATCTGGATGAATTTCACCCTCCATCTCTACAAACATCATACAAAACATCTAAGCTCTCATCAGTTGGATATGGAATTCATTGACGAGTACATCGTAGTGTGTGTAAAAACCAGTGAGTTGGGTTCGAGAGTTTTTAATTTTTTTTATTTTAAATGAATTTTTTTCACAATCATAATGGCAAAGAGCTCAGGGAGAAAGCAAGCAACTATCTCGTTTAAAATGAAGATGGAGCTTCTTTAGTCTATTGATAAAAAACAGAAGATTACAGAAATCTGTTAAAGTTTTGGTATTGCTAAATTCATGAAGTTCTTACGAATGCTTTTGTTTCCCATTGATTTTTCAATTCCTACTATTAGTTCACACTCTCCCTAACTATATTTATTCACATATACATACATCTTGTTCAAATTTTAAAAGGTTTATAAAATGCTTTTTATTCATCCACTCAAGTTCAAATACATTTCTTTAAACTTGTAGTGGATGGCACTTGATGTTAATTCAGTTTTTTTCAAATAGTAATTCTTTAATTAATGAATAAACGGTAACAAACAAAAATAATAGTCCAACACACTGTATAAATAGGAAAATCGCTCGTTGTGTCCCTGTAGTGCAATGGGAGATGTTGGACTTCTAATCCAAAGGTCGTTGTTTCGAGTCCTACCTGGGATGGCATAATTTCCGAGAATGGGATTTCTTTTTGCTGTACAATTTTATTGAAATAATTAAGTTTAATTAATGAATATATATATATATATATATAGTAACAACACAAAATAATTCAACACCCCATATAGAAAGAAAAATGGAAGATTTCAAGGAAAAGTGTTTTCTATGTTGTTATTTAATAGTGTGATTCTGTCCTATGTAAAGGCATATTTATATTATAAATGTAATTATTTAATAAAAAGTAGTTAAAATAACTTTTTTTTCCTGTGAGTAAGAAATAACTTAATTTTTTTCTTTTATATTACTTGATATTAAATATATACATATCTATTTGAATAAAATATACTCCGATAAAATATTTTTGCTGTGTGTGAATAAATGTTTTTTTTCCTCCCAATATCCTTTAACATGAAAAAAATATTTCAGTTTCGTATTAAGGTATCCGACTAAGTTCGGAACTATGATTTTAAAAAAGCTCATAAATGAATAATTTTCATGATATTTAGTGTCACATAGATTAGAATACATGTATAAAATTGCTTTAAGGACATTATGACAAAAAAAAATTGTTTAAACGCAATATTTTGGCAAAAAATTAGAATAACCTATTTTCTCTCTCAAAGCGTTCATCTTTTATAAAAAATTCTTCTATAATAATATTTTGCTCACATAAAGTAAATACATCTCCAGGGGGCCTGAACTAGAATTTTTGAAAATTTCACATTATTTTCAGTTACCACCGATTGAAATAGTTATCGGTTTTTTTTTCTTAAAATTTCTCTCCTCTGTTGTAATAAAACATGGATAAACCCACTTCTAAGTTATATATTTAAAAAAATTCTAATTCAACCTCTGTACAGAAGTCTGAGCTAAATACAGGCAAAATATTATTATAATAGAAGCATTTTTCATAGAAGGAGAATGTTTTGAAAATGGGTCATTGTGTATTTTGGTCAAAATATTGTACTTAAATCATTTTTTATTGCAATAATATTCTTAAAACAATTTTATATACGTTTTCTAATCTAAGTACTCAAAATATCATAAATATTTATTTATACTCTTTTGCAAAATCACGGTTCTGAATGTAGTTGGATACCTTAAGGACCTCTGATTGTGGTCCGGCGGAATAAAGTTTGAGTATCCCTGGGTTAAAATGTTGCGGAAGGACTTGCGCCGCTCTTCCTGCGAGCTGCTTAACTCGGCCCCTCCGAGTGATGATGCCTTTAAATCCTACCTGTTGATGGTGGGTGTGGACGCGAGTCCAATCCCAGACCTCACCCATTAAAGAAAATAAGAAAAAGGTGTTGATAATAGAGCGATTAGCCCGCTGCCTCGAGCCTGCCTAAGCTAATTATTTGAAGGGAAAAACCGCCACAGCTCACTGATTATACGGGACGCTCGCTATCCATCAAGACAGCTTGAAGAGCCTTTAATTTATATTCATAGTTATCCAGTAAATTTTCATCCTTCCTTTTTTGATTTTCTTACCAAAAAAAATCGCTTTTTATTATTATTATTATTATTATTTTAGTGGTTGTTACGCCTTGAAAATAACCCTACTCATTTTGTTATTCATGAGAAAATATGTGAATTTTATGGGTTTGATTTTTAGTGTTTAGGTTTCATTTTTATTTATTTTTTACTATTATTTGATCGCTCTCACTGGGCAGTAAATTTCAAACCCACTCACTTGGTTCAAAACAGGTCGATCATTTTTAAGAATATGGCTCGGGTATGTAAGTAAGACAAGTTAAGTAAGGGTTGACTAGCGTAGGGTGAAAAGTTTCCGGCTGGTTTTTCTGTTTCTTATCCTTATGGATGCGCTTAATTAAATTCACAACACCCCTGGGGGATCAGAATATTGTTTTAGAACGGTGAATTGAATTGATTTTAGTAACAAAATGTCTAATCCAGGTGAAAAAGTGGATTGAGAGTACGAAGTGTGGCTATTAAGTAACAAGACTGGCGCTATGAAAACTTTTATTTCGATTTCATGCACATTTATTTATTATCAACTTCAATATATTTTTTTCCAATGGACTGCATGTACTCAACTAAGCCTTTACAGACACGGCATGTTCTCAAGTGTGAATACATTTCAGTGGTGGCACCCTCTAGTGGAGGATCTCGAAACCACATTTGGATGCTTGAATTAATTTAATTCAAGCTCTCATCGGGTGAGGGAGTGAATATTAACGTCGCACTGTTCAGCTACATGAGGACTTTTGGCGACGGACCTCGTCATTTGAAACCACAGTACAGTGACGAGGACGACACCTGAGTTGCACCCCTCTCCTAACGAGAAGACGTTTGTGCTTACGACAAATTTAACGTGCATTTCTTACCTACATGGCGGGTCTTCAGTGGTATTAGGATCGAACTCATGACACGCCGGCCAGGAGTCCGTTACCTTGACCACTAGGCTACCACGGCCACAATAATGTACGGCATCGTGCTCAAAAATGTTTGGAGTGGGTGGATTTTAATTTAAATATTTATTTTAACTTTTTCAACCTAGTCTCCAAATGCGAGAGCTACTTCATGGCAGCACCACCTAGTGGAGGATCTCGCTACCACATTTGGATGCTTGAATTAGTTTAATTCAAACTCTCTTTGGATGCTGAATATTGTTGCGATTTAATTTTGCAGAGAGTACCAGAGCGAAATTGATACTCAAGAGATCTTTTACATGCCACATAACCATATGACATGCTTACCTGCGATTTTCGCATCCAGAAAATCGATCGATTCTAGCCGGTACGAACCCGCAACCTTGGGCTCGCTATCTCTAAACCATCGGAGCCGACCCCAATGTCTATATACACCCCTCCTCTGTCCCTACATCGCTCCATACGAATCTTCCATTGTTTGAAACAGTGCTGGAAGTCTTCTGTCAGCTGCTATAGGATACATGCCGCTTCCTACTTCACAGCTTCAACTTTTTCTTTTTGGTGCACCTTAAGAAGTCACAGGGCACACTAGATCTGGCGAATAAAACGGATGCTCTAACATTGGAATGCTATACTTGTCAAGAAACCTCTTGACAAACAATGCTTTCTGTTGTTCAAGCATGAGAATTTTGGCAAACACTTTTGCGAAAAAGAATTGTTACACACAGTTTGCCGTACGGTCTGAGCAAGTGCACTAGTACATAACTGTTGGTCAAATCGAGCAAAATCACCGATTTTTTCGATGTCATCCGTTTTTGATGTGGAAGGGCGATCCGGGCGTGAATTCTCTTTAACTTCTTCTCGGCCATTCCGAAAACAATTAAAATCAATTCATTAGGTCGATCGTGGTCACCCGGTGGATTGGCTAGACATTTTGAGGTGACCACCTGAACATTAACAGTTATTAATTATATACCGAAGTATTCCAGATCGGCTGACAGTCTGCAAACTATAAGTCTTCTACTGACTGTAACACACTCTATGAGCACTAATTTTAGATAAAAGCATTTTTAAAATTTTTTTTAATGTATTTGGAAATGTGTTTTGTCACAAACACATCATTTGATATTACTATATTTGTAGCTATTATAATTACGTATTTATCTTGCATTTTTCCTTAAAAGCAGCCTGAAAAGCGTAAGCTTATTTTATTGTAGTTAATTTCATGTTCCGTATTTTTCATTAACTTATAATAAATATTGTAGAACTTTTTCTTACCTCACCGTACCTGTCCCATTGAGTGAACCGCAAATCTTTGAAAATTTAGTAGCCCATAGCCTGGGAAAGTTTACTCACCTCTGCTTAAACTAGTGTTTCTCAAACTTTCAATATTAGCGACCCAATATTCAATCTTAAAAATTCCATCGCACCCCCATCTTCCATACGATAACAATGTTTTGAATTCAATAATACTATACTTTGACGCTAAAGCTACAATACGATTTTAACCTCCTACATGCCGCTGGCGTTTTTTTACGTCTCTCTCAGCCAAAACGTTAATTGTCCTCGGCGTATATGTACGTCGTTCCGAAGTACGATCATTTCAGTGCACTGCTATCCATAAAGTTATTTCGAAGGCTTTGGAATCCAATAAAAGGGCATTGAAAGTGTTTGCGAAGGATTTGCTTATTTATTCCTTTTCTTTTCTACCCCTTTCCAATACATTATATGCGCCCCATGGAAACTGTTTCACTGAAGAGCGAATTGCGTAACTTTTAATTAGCGGTTAAGGGATTGATTATAAGATTATTAAGATTATTGTTAATTTTTGTAAATAATTTTATGTATGACAAGTCCATGCGGTCACTGATAATTGCTAAATTTATTCTTAATTTAGCATTGTTCAATTAAATATAAAATGTATCGTACAGTACTTATACATTTATAAGTGTATTATATCAGAATGTTTTTTTTTTGTTTACTTTCCTCAAGTTAATAATTTTTTAAAATTATGTTTTGTTTTCGACTTTTCAATAGAACCGCGCCCCCCTCATACAATTATCATGCCCTACAGTTTGAGAAACGCTGGCTTAAACCTCTAAAAAAACGTGCACGTGATAAATTTCATTATCACATACACTTCTTTTAATAAATTATAAGTTTCAGTAGCGGTTTCTCCAAGTTTCATGGGCCGCGGTAGCCGAGTGGTATAGGTATCGGATCGTGGCTTGCCATGTCATGAGTTCAAGCCCAGTACCACCCAAGACCCGTCGTGTAGGGCAGCGATGCATGCTAAATCTGTCGAGAGCTGAACCGTCCTCCCGATGGTGTGGTGTGGTAGTTAGGAGAGGTGGTGCCAGCTCAGGTGTCGTCCACGTCACTTGACCATGGTTCAAAATTACGTGGTCCGTCGCTAAAAGCCCTTGTGTAGCTGAACAGTGCGACGTTAATATTCAATCAATCAATCAATCAATCCAGGAAAAAGTTTGCTATATAGAAAAATTCGCAATTTAGAGGCTTGGCTGTATTGCGTCATTTACATCCTATTGCATATAATGTATGTTTTCACAGTTTCCAAAGCTGTTTAAATAATTCGTTGATTTGGGGTTT